CTGTACATCAATCTGAAACAGAAGAAAGCAGTAGGTAAAAAAAAGAAATGAAGAAAATAGTTTTTGGGGTAATAAATCACACAATCAACAAATAAATAACAAAAGGTCAACTTACTAGTTAGTATTTTTAATAATTAAATCTACCATTAATAATTAAATCTATTATTTTCCTGCCATCAGCAAAGGATCATAACTGAATTTTTTTTTGGTAGTTTTGTTAAAGATTTAATTTCTGAAACACTGAAACATTCCTGAAAAAGCAACCAGTCTTGTTATTTTTCCAGCAAAACAACCAGCTCCTTCAATTTTTCCTCAGTGATATTTGGATATACCAATTTGTTACATAAATTAGTTAAGGGAATTATTTCTTCTTCAAAGTAAAACTTCTGTCAAGTGGACAATTTTCTGATTTTATCATCAGACTAAATCAAAGTGTGTAAATTTGTCATCTTAGTCTTAATTCTTCTATAGAATACTAAAATGCTACAAAAAACTTTTGCAAGGAGTAGAAAGTTGGAAGCATTCTAAAACTGCGGTCTTCATGTTGGTATACATGTAGGAGGGAGGTGTCAATAGTCCAAATGAGACAAAGAATTGTAATAATTTTCAATAACTTCTGTTCTCTTCATTTACCTATCTACCCCAAAGTTTAACAATAAATTATGTATATCATTCTTGTGGCCTTGAGGTAACTTGAGGCACTTGCAACTTATTTATTTTCAACTGAGGGGCAGTTTTGTCTCTTGAAATATACGATAACAGCCACAGGCAGAATGTCCTCGGAGAGGGTAAAAACCTTGGCCCTTCAGGTGATTTGATACAATGATTCGGAATCAAAGATTGTGGGAACATGGACTCTGGAATGCTTTCCCAAGTTAACCAGCAAGCTGGGAACGGTCTCATTTCCGTAAACGGATATTCAGGGTGTCCTGGTCACATGTGCCTGTTTTGGGGTGGAACTCCTGAAGGCAGTTGGGCTAGTCACTCCAGGGGCCCGGTTTAGGTGCTTCCCTGAGATGTTTGGGCCGCTTGTGGAGCACCAGGGTCAACGCCAAGACGCTTCTGGTCAACTGTAGCGTCTCAGTGACTACACTGCCAAGAATGGGCTGCACGGACCGGGCCAGACCCAGGCCGGGGCGCAGGAGTTCCCTAGACCCCGGGGAGATCCCACGGCGGTCCCTCCGGCCCGGGCCGGCCCCGGCCGGCCCCACGGTCCTCCGCGGCCTGCGGCCGACGCTCACCGGCAGCCGCGTCAGGGTGCTGGCCGCCTCATCCACCTCCTCCCGCGAGGCTGTCCTCGCCACCCTCTCCTTGCTCACTGACTGCCAGAAGGTCCTCCAGCCGCTGAGGATGGCCGCCTCCAGGCGGCCCCAGTCGCTGAAGGGCGGCGGCGGGGAGCTAGTTCCGCTGCGCGGCTCGCTTCCTGCCATGGCTTGCCCGCAGCACGGGTGACGCGTCGCAGAGGCACACCAAGTGCGTCCGCCTCCTGCGCGGGTCCGCCGCCCGCCGCCGTAGCCATCGGGCGTTCCGCCTCTCGCCTCCCCCGCGAGTCCGCCTCCAGGGCAGGGTTAGGCCCGGGACCAGGGGAGCCAGCTGTGTGTGGTTCTGAGCCGAGTACGAAGCTCCTGTCAACAATTACTTCCTTAGTAACCTGTGACCTCAACCTCAGCCAGCTAACCACAGAGCCCTTCTACAACCTACGGCTAGCTGACTTCCTGACTTCATTCGATATTCTCTCTGGGATCATTTCCACTATGCCAGGTCTTAGGCGACTCCGCTGGTTCGACAGCTCTCTGCCACTATCTTGGGCTTAATAACCACCTGTTTCCTGTTCAGCACTACATACTACGTGTGGGGTTTTGTGTGTGTTGTTTCCTCAATCACCAATTCACCATTTATTTTCCCGCCTTATCAGCAAAAACAGACTAGAGAGGCAGTCAGGAGGCCAATTATAAAGAACCTTATGCCAAAATGAGAAGTCTGGACCCACTATGCGAAAATATAAGCATATTTAAAATTTGCTTAATCTATGTATCTCATAAAAGGGCAGCAAAAAAATCGCTAGGAGAACCTGAATGTGGTGGTGTTGAAATCCCACTAGTGAATTTTTTGATTCTCAATACAGATGTCCATTCTACTTACTTTGAGCTTACTTTAAAAGGGCTGTAAGAAAGTATACCAGAGAACATATTACAAGTTATCTGTTGTATAACTGGGTATGCATACATTCAAAAAGTAAATCTCTGAATATCTAAATGTCAACAGAATCCAACAAAGCCTGATAACTAAGGCTCTGTAACATACAAGTTTGCTTCATTATTTTTTTTTTTTTTTTGGCATGCCGTTGGTAGGTGCCAATAACCAATAAAATTACAGCCTCAGTTCTGAGAGGCAATCTGGACAAGAACCACAAATTAACCATATGGCATTTCTCATTACCTTCTAAGACGTGATTTACTGTGATGGCAAAAAAGTAGAACTAGAGCCAGAAAAAAAAAAAAATCAGTTCAAGTATAAAGTATTAAAAATATATCTGTTAAATAAAAGAGGAAAACTTTATTATGAAAAATTTTGAACATATATAAAAGGAGAGTGAATAATATGCTCTTGTGTGCCCAATATCCAAGATTCAATTACCAACACCTGGTTAATCTTGCTCTGTTGCTGTATTCACCTAATACTACACCCCCAATTCTGGATTGCTTTGAAACAAATCCCAGACCTATCATCTGTAAATATCTCAGTATCTATCCCTAAAAAATACATTTTAGGAAACAGAACACTGTACCCAAGCAATTTTAATTCATTAAAATCATCAAATACACACACTCTTACAACTTAAGTTTCATTATATAGCTCCCCCTCCTTTATTTTCCCTTTGTTTACAGAAAAAAACAAAAACAAACAAACAAAAATACAGGTTGGTCTTTCTGGAGCACTCTGGACTTATTATTTTTTTTCTATATTCTTCTTTTTATTCTTTTCTTGGTAGAGACAAAGTTTCACCATGTTTTCCAGGCTGGTCTTGACCTCCTAGGCTCAAGTGATCCTCCCCTGATGTGGCCTTCCAAAGTACTGGGATTACAGGCGTGACCCACTGTGCTGGCCTGGATACTCTTGATGGCATCTCAATAGTGCCTTTAACACATTTGTAAAAGGTATTATGTACTGAGATTGAAAGCCACAAGTCAGTTTCATTTTCTAATATTCAGAGTGATCAATGATTGCACTGTGCTGATCCATTCAAATTTCCTGTAAGTTTTTCACCTCAAAGATACAGCATTTATCAATGAATATTATTTTCTTACAAGTTATAAAATGTTAATATTCTAGTTCTATAATTCATTAGCTGAATTAAAAATTTTCTTGTCAGTCATTTGATTGTCCTGCTCAGGCCAGAATTCGCTGTATTTCCAGAAAACCCTGGCTCATTTTGATAGGAATGTTTCTAGTCCTTTCTAGTGTCTTTTATATATAGAAAACATAACTTCACATTGTTATTTTCCATTCAAACATTACAGACTTTTTACTCTTTGATTTCATATGTCTCTTTTCTCTTACACTAAAAACCTTCATTTCTAATTATATTAACATAACTAACAATTTAATTACAGTACTGAGGAGTTTAAGAATTCTTCACATTCTTTTTGCCCTTGGATATACCCTATTAGGAATGAACACACAAATTACTATGTTTTAAAGATAATTGAAACATACTTGTGTATTTAAACCATCAACTTGATATAGAATGCAGGTCACTTGTTTCATTTTGCTTTGAACTTGTAGGGCTTTTTTTAACTTTGATTAAATCTTGTTTTAGAATAACATATGTACATGGTCAAAGTCAGATGTTCAAAACTCAAGGCATATTCAGAGAAATCTAGCTTCCGTCCTGGTCTTTTTCCATCTGGTTCTTCACCTTCTGCCTCCACCATAAGTAACCATTTTGTAAGGCTTTCATTATCCTTCCATTGTTTACACACACACACACACACACACACACACACACACACACACACTTTTCCATCCTTTCTAAATATCGTGTGTGTGTATACAAATATATATACCTTCTCCATTTTTTTACTTAATGAGACCACTCTGTAGCATTATACAGAAATATACCTCATGGGATTTTACAGCTACATATTAATCACATAGAAAACAGGATTTAGAATAATCTGTTTTTAAGTGTGGTATTTATATTTAAATAACCAGCATTTCATTAAATGCCTCTGATTTGTGAGTTAAGAATGAGACCAAAAGGTATCAGAAGCCAAGGCAATTAGGCTGATTGAAAAATTCGATTTTAAATAGGGTACGTATAACATATTTAGATGACTAGTACATCTCAATACAGTGGATATTATATATATCTGGGGGGGACCTGAAGATTTTTTGAAAATTTGAGGTTTTCTTCCAGTCATATCCACATAAAACATTTGAGATGCCTATCCAAGTCCTGATTTCTTCTCTGAAATCTGCTTCCCACCTGAAAGACCAGAATAACTTGAACTAAGGAAAGGCAGTGCTTTACTGGCCAACAAGTTTGTCATTCAATTGTCTGGCTAATGAGTCAGCATGCCAAATGAGGTATGCCTATATACAGAACTAGACATTAAGGGAAACAGTCTAGTAATAGCTAATTCTCTTGTGTTCTTATCATGTGCTAGGCACTGAACTAAAGCACTCTGAACATTAACTTATTTAATCTTAAATATCCTTGAGGTAGGTACTATACTGTGTTAAAAAAAGTAAGATAATAAGGCACAGGAAGATTAAAGAACTTATAGAGAGTCACACAGTTAGTATTATAAATGGCAGGTCTGTGATTAAACTCAGGCCTTCTGGCTTCAAATCTCAGAATCCTAACCACTATATTACCCGATCTTCAAAAGTTATTAGGACCAGAAGAAATAACATTCAGAAGTTAAAATAATAAACTGAGATGATAAAAGTTTTAATTCTGATGCAACAGTCGAATATAAAAGAAAACAAGCAAGTAGGGGTGTATGGTTTTATTTTTTTAAAAATGTATATGCTCAAAAACAGTTTACTTGGAAATTTTCACTAGAAGAAATAAAAAATATGAAAGAACACCAGCATAAATACATAATGCATACTTTAATTGTGGATATATTAAATGCATGTTAATGTAATACTGCTGTAACATATCATCTCATTGTTAAAAAAAAAAAAAAAGAATATAGAGAAGTGAAATTAAAGAACTATAGAATCCTGAATTCTGGGCAGATGGGGTACCCTTATTTAAGCTAGAAAAGGAGCCCTAGAAAGTAGAAAGAGAAACAAGACAAGCAATCTAAAACCAGCATGTTACCAACTGTGAGTTTATTAAAATGCCATTAAAATGAATCTAAGAATGACTTTTGACACAGCTCACACTTTAATGAACATCAGAATTTGCAGCAAGATGGTAAAGTTAGGAATGTAATGTTATTGTGGGGTTTTAGCCATGACCCTCACCTCACTCTACTATATGCAAAAGAAAAAAGTCTTTAGTCATGATTTGCACCTTAATCAGCATCAATATTTTCAGTAGCCTAAAACCCTGTAAATGCAGCACAGCAGACACATCTTTAATTAAGCCTTGAAGCCTAGTTAACATCAAAAAATTCATATTGGGAAAGAAACATACAAATTTAAGGACTGCGAAGAGTTCTTTAACAGAGTTTTGGTAATCACAAGAGAATTCAAACCAAAGAGAAACCCCAAGTGTAAAAAATTCAACAAGGCCTTTCGGTATCACTTAACCATTAGCAAAATCCATACTGGAGAGAAACCCTTTATGTGTAGCTGAAATGATAAGGTCTTAAGTAGTTACCCATTCCTTAATTCAGTATCAGAACTTGTATAAGAAAGAAACTTTATGAATGTACTGAATATGCAAGGTATATAACCAAAGGAGGGAAATTTGAAGACACAAATGCTAAAGCAGTAGACAGTTCCCAAACACCCCTAAATATGATGGCATCCCACCCCTCTCCCACCACACTAACCCCTTACCCTAATTTACTCTTCTTCATAGTACTCATCACTTGACACTCTCTATAATACATTTATTATTTAAAATGCTTTGTCTAACTTCTTCCACTAGAATACAAGCTCTGAAACAGGATATAGCTTTGGTTACAAAGCTATATCCTCAGTGTCTAGGATAAAATCTGGCACATGGTAGGCATACAACAGTTGTTGAGTGAATTAATGTAGTACTTTCCTTATGTGGGGTATTTGGTACCTTGAGGTTACTTCATTCTAACTGAATTATTTAGCAGGCTTTAACATATACAAGAATGTGTTCATTATTTTACAATACACCAGAGTTAAAAGCATTTTAACTGCTCTAGCCTACAAATTATTCTCCAACTGTGTGGGGATGGAAAGTTGTACAAAGAGCACCCAGTATTACCCTCATAATTGTACCAACGAGTGAGACCAAGTGGTCTATAAGGATTATAAAGGCAAAATGGAAGTTTCCAACATCACAAGAGAAAGTTCTCTTTTCTCAGGTTCAGAATCTGAATACTCCTCTCAAGACAATATATATATACCTATATGCCTTGTCAGCCACTGGTATAGAGGGCATGGCAGTTTAGAATCCAATAGTAAAAACCTTTTTGTGCAATTTGGCATTTAGAATCATGTCTCATTAATTCAAAAACATTACTAAGGGTCTACCATGCACTATGTATACAGGGAAATTTTTTAAATATGGAGTTTACCAACTATAAATAAAATAATTACAAAGCAATGTGATCAGTGTGATAACATGGGAGGGGAAGAGTAAAGAACCAGAACAAAGGAGCATCTAATTTGACTGAAACGGGCTGAAAAAAGCCCAAGAAAACAGAATCACTGAAGCTGAGTCTTAAAAAGTAGGTAGGTATTCACTTGGTCACAAAGAAGGCTGTAGAAGTACATTTGGGGAAGAACTGGAAGTACCTGCAATTGATCAGGATGCTCTAAAAAGAGGGACAGACTGTGGTTCTAAAAACCATATTAAAAATAATTTAAATCTTTATACTTAGAAAGCACAAAGGTATTTTCATAATAAAACCTGCTAAAATGCTAAGTTAAATAAAAAATCTTAGCTGTGTAAGGATAAGCAAGGGTGCTGGGGCAGGAATTGAGAGATTCCCCTTGCCACAAAGGCTCTATCAGAATTGTTATGTTTACTGATAAAGCAGACTGGATTTTAACTGTTTGAGCAACACTGCACTATAACATGATGATACAGGATGACTACAGAGACATGGCTGAGAAGTTAAGTATTCTGTGTTGCTCTGATCTGTGGAAGATCCCCAAAAGAGAAAACTTGTAAAGCAGAAAGGATTTTATATAAAAGACAAGGACTTGATGTTTGGACACATTGCATTTAAAATTACTATGGGATATCTAAGTGAAGATATTTGATAGGTAGTTAGAAACAAGGTTGAGAGAGCAAGAGAGAAGCCAGGATACAAGTTGCAGGTTTGAGACTCAGTCTGATATTACAGGTGGTAAAAGCCATGGCTATGAATAACATTGTATAAAATATGTAAAGTGAAAAAAAAGAGAGAGAGAAAATCTAGCAAAGATAAATATCTAAAAGGTAGGCAGAAAGTAAGACAACACAAGGGAAATGAGGGAGACAGAAGAGATGAAACCAACCTGTAGCACACAGTAGCTTTTGATAGGAAGCAGGCAAGCTCTTTTCCTCTAAAACAAGGGAAAATGAATAAAGTTGGTAAATACAAGTTCACCTCTTCATGGTCTCAATTTTTTGTCCAATAGGAGGAAGAGCCATATGCTAGATGAGGGGCAGAGGGCCTAAGGAAAGTAATGAAGTTTGGCTCAGCTCAGCCACAGCAGGAAATGGGACAGAGGCTACCCTAGTAACAAACAGAAGGTTTACACTGAGGGCTTTTCTAAGGCTGAAGCGAGACATCTGTAGTGATTCCACTGAAGGACTACCCTTGAAGAACTCAGCCTCCCAGAAAAGATAGATAATAAACAGGATTAATCTGATGTTGAGGGCTTGCAGAAGAACTAGACTAAAAGACTAGGGGAAGAAGAAGTGGTGAGATTAGTTCATATAGTGCCCCATAAAGCTGAGGGTGGATAGGAAAGCAAGCCTGAAAGTGGCTAATAGTTTAGGAGGAAGGGGAGCAGTCAAGAAAAGGGGGTGAGAAGGAACTGAAGAATGTGTAACAAGCATAAAAGGAGAGAAAAGTCAATAAAACAAGGAAGTAAAAAAACTGAAAAGAGGGCAGTTATCAGTTACTGAAATTTTACCAAAAAGAGAAACTCAAGGTGGTGATATTCCAAGTAAGGCTGCAGGAATAAGCTGCTGGAATGTGATAAAGTTACTGAGGCAGAAGTCCAAGATATCAGCAAGGTATCAGAAAGATCATCCCAAGATGAGGTAGACAGAAAGACCATAAGCAAGATATCAAGTTAGGCTCCCTGGCCTTTAACACTCACCTCGATTATTAAAGGCAGAAAATATTAAAATTTCAGTATGGTATGAAAACATATGCTATAAAAGCATATGAACTAATGGTAGACTAACCTAACTTAGTTTTGATCTTCATTAGCCACTTGAAAAGCCATGCATTTTCTTTTAAACAAAATAGAAAAATAATTTTTAAATTTTTATAAAATGCCTAAAGGAAGTAGAAATTTTAAATACAATTAGTAATACATGGCAGAATAATTAAACACAATGATTCCTTTGTGAGATCTTTCATTATTTAACTTTATTGAAAATGGAATCTGAATATTAGTCATAATCTTTCATTTTGCCTACATTTATATCCATAGTATGTATTCAAAGCAATGAGGTAACTTGACTTTAATTTCTGAAGCATGGCAAACTTCAAGATGGGAGATTAAAAAATAATCTAAAGATGATAAAAATGGTAAACTTGTGTTACATACACCATAATAAAAAAATAATCTAAAGTAACAGAAAAAATCTTTGTAAAGCGAAATTGAGTTACTCCTCATTATTAGTGACATAATATCTGTATTTCAAGGTGAGTTTGAACAACACTTTAGAAATTAAAGAATCACCCCTTCATAGGTTTAAGAATATATAATGAAAAAGATGGATGGCGTTTAAAGAAGGGTACCCAAGCTGCATATCTTTATGCAGTGTAATATTCTCATATCCAGTATCAACATGTCTTTCTTTGTTGGAACTCTCTTTTCCATTTCATGGGTCTTGTTTTTCTACTTGAAAAGGACTAGATGAACTTACTAGTTACAGCGATGATGAAAGAAGTTTAAAATTTGTTTTGCGTTCGTTGTATTCCATTCTTGTTCTTTCAGGGGTCCTTCACACACAGATACATACTTTTTCAAGATTTTTTCTCCTACTTCTCGGAAATCCAAGGGTTCCTTTTGTATAGTGCAGCTTGCTCCAGAAACATCAGCATCCATTTCATGATTTTCTGGTTGCTGATCAGCACAATACTTCGATCCCCAGTAACACATTTCTCCACTGTACATCATAGCCAGCAGATGAATGTCACTAAATATTCCTGGGAAAGTCATTTAGGTTGACAGTTTAGAATTAAAAGCTTAAAAATAAGACCTAGTTATTAACTAAACTCCAGTAAGTTCCCTTTGTCATTAAGTATTTTCTATTCTCACTTTAACAGTAACACAAAAGCCAAATATGACTAATACATCTTCATTTAATTAGCATTTTTATGTATATTTTACTAGTAAAAGAGGCCCATTACAAAAAGAAAAACAGAGTATCAGATAATTTTTTTTAAGAGGACCATAAATGTTTTTGACCTTTTTGGGGTCTGCTAGAACTTCTTCAAGAATCTGATTTAAGGAATAGAATCTCTACCAAGATATACACCCCAAATTCTGCCCACAATTTCAGAGTACTTATGAACTGGGGTATACTCTAGGATCATTCACATAGTTACAGTCAAATATCCTAGACCTCCTATATTTCTCTAAAAGTCTAAGAAATTATCATGCATAATCATGCCTGAGAGTCCATATAATTTTAAATTATTAAAGATGTTAAATTATTTCCAAGATGCTTTGTATTACCAGAAAAAAAGAGAATACGCTGCAGAATTTTCATCAAATGTTGAACACATTCTTCTTATGGGTAGCTTTTCCAGTAGGCAATTATATAATTAAACATTTATGGTGCATAAAGTATATTAATTTGGCAGAAAGACAAATAAACCTAGAATAAAAAAAGATCTGGGTATAAATTACTGGCTTTGTGTCTTTGGGCAAGTCACCAAAGCTCTTTGAATCTCAGGTTTTAAATCTGAGAAACGAGTTCACTTCCCCTACTTAATTCATGGAATTTTCTTAAATATATGAAATAAAAATATAACTTCTTAAAGTTGTTAAAGTAAAAATTAATGATGTATTCTAATGTACTTCTGTGATTAGAAAAGGTTACTTCAAATAAATGAGTAACATAATTTCAGATGGTCACCTAATATGATTCAACAAAAGTGACCTATGATGGTACTGGATATGAATAATTCAACTTTCAAACTGGCGGTAGTTTCTGTTTTGAATCCACTGCCTGCTTTTTAAAGTATCAAAATTTGTTCTTATAGTTTTCACCTTCACTTCACCTCAATTTCTGCTTATAAAGAGTAGCAACAGAAACAACAGGTTCAGCAGAACAACTAAATGACTGGTGACATGGTTTGGCTGTGCATCCCCATCCAAATCTCATTTTGAATTGTACCTCCATAATTCCCATGTGTTGTGGGAGGGTCCTAGTGGGAAACAACTGAATCATGGGGCTAATTTCCCCCATACTGTTCTCGTGGTAGTAAATAAGACTCAAGAGATCTGATAGTTTTATAAGGGGTTTCCCTTTCACTTCTCTCTCATTCTCTATTGCCGCCACCATGTAAGAAGTGCCTTTTGCCTTCCCCCATGATTGTGAGGCCTCCCAGTCACGTGGAACCGTGAGTCCATTAAACCTATTTTTTCTTCCAGTCTTGGGTATGTCTTTATCAGCAGTGTGAAAATGGACTAATACAAATAGCTATATGATAAACAGTGGTTCTCAAAATTTTGCCTGCATTTGAATTACCTGGTGGATTTACTAAAATGCTGATTGCTGCCCTGCCCCTCCAGTTTCAGACTGAGACATGGGGTTGGGTTTATAAATTTACATTTTTTAAGTTAATTCCTAAAACCTAGGGTGATGCTGATGCTGCTGTTCCATGGACACTTTCAAAATAACTGCATTAAAATAAAAGAAGAGATGAACAAGTAAAAATCAGACACCTTCTTCTTCTTCTCTATTCCTACAAGGGGTCCACTACTCTATAGATACAGGATTTTTGCTTCTATGAATTTTCCCTGATATTTTCTTTTGCCATTAATATTTATCATTGTTTTACAATAAAACATTTCACTTTACATTGTGGATGCCCTTGGTAAACACATGCTAACAGAAGAAAGGCACACGTGACATGGGGAGGTAGGGAACGGGAACGAAGATAATCCATTAAAGGAGCGGGCAGAAAGGTAACTTTCACAGAAAAAAAAGTGGCCAGACTGCCATCTTCTGGAAGCATGATGTGCAAATCTGCCTACATCCTAACAATTTAGGGAGCTTATTAAAAATAGAATCCTGGGCTTCATATAGTGAATCAGAACTTGCATAGGTTACACAAAAATCTGCATTTAAATTTTTTTGATACATTCTATTTGTTCATATTTAGGAGTACATGTGAAATTTTGTTATATACATAGAGTATGTAATGATCAGGTAAGGGTATTTAGGGTATCCATCACCCAAATACCATTTCTATGTGTTGGGTACATTTCAAGTCCTCTCCCCTAGCTATTTTGAAAAACACAGTATGTTGTTACTTATAGCTACTCTGCTATAATGCATCAGAACTTATTCCTTCTTTCTAACTATATGTTTGTACCCATTAACCCAATCTCTCTTCGTCATCCTCCTCCCATTCATACATCCTTCTGTGATACCAGTGCCAATTTGTAGGGGAGGGAGGGTCCTTGATGGTATTAAGAAGGGCATACACCAAGGGTGTAAAAGTTGGACAGTTTTTTGGTTTACCCCCATTTGATTCCAGGTTTATTCTGACAAGGCAATTTTTATAAGCCTTTCATCTGATAAGGCCATGTCCAAAGATTAAAATTCTCTGGTCCCACTTCCTAGAAGATGAGGCTCAGAGGTGAGATACAAAAGCTTATTGCATAAAATTTAATGATACGCAGATAATGTCTAAACAACAGTATGATTATCTTACCTTAGAAAAAGTAACAAAAACCATACACAGTTTTGAGTTTTATCTAAAAATAGGTTAATTATCACCAAGATATAGCCACAAAAAACTTGATGTCTCATATAGAACTTTTCTCCCTCAATATTAAGAATTATTCAGAACTGTATTTTAGATTGACTAACAAAAAATAATTTGAGCCTCTCCAACAGGGGCTTAGGAGTAATTCAGCCTATAAACTGTAGGTTTCCTGGCTTCAAATCTAATCATCTTCAGATAGATACATTTGGGCAAAGCAACCTTTTTTTTTGCCCCCATCATTCGGGGTCCCACTATGTTACCCAGGCTAGAGTGCAGCTGTGCGATCACAGCTCACTGCAGCCTCAAACTCCTGGGCTCAAATGATCCTCCTGCCTCAGCCTACTAATAGCTGGAACCACAATCACACGTCACCACACCTGGCTAATTTTCTTTTTTTAAAAAGTTTTTCCAGAGATGAGGTCTCACTATGTCTTGAACTCCTAGCTTTTCTCAAGCGATCATCCTGCCTTGGCCTCCCAAAGGAGGCAAACTTCTTTAGATGAGAACAAGAAGCTGACACCATAAGAGGACTGAGGATTGTATGCAGCAAAACTGCTGTGGTACCTGTACTGATTTTTTTTGCCTGGAAAATGCTACCCTATCTGACCCTTTTAATTCCCTTGTTGAAAAGGCAACTGAAACTAGGAGTTAGTAAATTCAAAGTAAGACAAAGAGATGGCATCAATATTTCATGCTTCCTGAAGAAAAATTCCAGGCTATAAGAGTATCTTACATTATAACTAGAAATCGGAGAATGAGGAAAACAGGTGATTTGTGCCATTCTCTTTGGTTCTAAACAAGCTTTAGTGCCTACCCCCACCTTTTTTCTTTTAAAGTGTCCCACATTAAGAATTTAATTTAATCAGTCCACATGGGTAAATACAAATTTTTAAAAAGCCATTTTCAATGCCTCTAATTGGTTCCTAGTTATCTGAAATAACTAATAACTAGTAATACTTGCCATAAATACATCAAATACCCCATGTTAATCAAAATGCCATGCCCACTGAGGCAGCTTTTTGTATTCATGATAAGTTGTTTTAGAATAAAATATTTGCCTAAGTGAACAGAAAATAATAACATTTGGACATCATGTTAATGACACTTAAATCATTGTTTTTTTCTATGAAATGCTTTCAAATAGAAAAATCCTGAAGAGTCTAACAAAGAAACAGGAAGAATTAAAACATTTAAAATTCAAGAATTTTCCCAAAGAGATATTCTAATTATCTTCATATTTCATTTTTTTTCCATTCAAACTTCAGATGAAGTATAAAAGAAGAAAGTTTACACATGTGATCTAATGTTACTTGCAGCTATTTGACTTTGAGCAATTCACCTGGTTTACCTGGATCTCAGTTCCTCCATTTATAAGGAGATGGTAAAAGTTAAGTGGTTCTTCTCTCTCCACACACAAGTCTAAAACCCAGATGATGTTCTATAATCAGTTCCTAGAATTTTCAACTATACAGATGCTTGTGGCAGAATTTATAATTGCCAACCAGTATTCATTCTCCCCATACCTTTTTCTTAGTAAAGAGCCTTAATTTTATTTGGGATGGCAATGTATCAGGTTAAGGACTACACTTCCCAGGTTTTCTTATAGCTAAGTAAAGTCATCTGATTAAATTCTGGCCAGTGAAATGCTTCTGAGAAGGATGGTCTGAAAAAACAGATTGACTGAAATTCCCTTTTGCAATTCCTGAAACAGATTGAAGGAGCTCTAGGAACATCTTGGGATACAGAGAATAAAAGCAATGTCCTAAACAGAGATCATGTATTCCATATAAAGTGCCTCCCCATGAAGAAGGGGGTCTGGTTCTGAAGATGAATGGAGGAAGAAGGTAAGAACATGATGAGATAGAGCCAGGGTACCAGCTCTGGAACCTTTTCTATGTGAAAGATCACTAAACGTCTACCTTGTTTAAAAGTTACTTCCAGTCAGTTATAAGTAGCCAAATCTAGTTCTCTCATAAAATGTTGATTGGGGCTTGATATGCTTTGCCCCTGTGTCCCCACCCAAATCTCATCTTGAATTATAATCTCCAGGTGTTGAGAGAGGAACCTGGTGCAGTGACTGGATCATGGGGGTGGTTTCCTCCATGCTATTCTCATGATAGTGAGTGAATTCTCACGAGAGCTGATGGTTTTATAAATGATAGTTTTTCCTGCACTCAAACATGCTCTCTCTCTTACCTGCACTCACACATGCTCTCTCTCTTACCTGCTACTATGTAAGACATGCCTGCTTCCCCTTCCACCATGATTGTAAGTTTCCTGACATCTCCCCAGCCATGTGCAACTGCGAGTCAATTAAACCTCTTTTGTTTATAAATTACCCAGTCTCAGGTAGTATCTTTATAGCAGTGTGAAAGCAAACCAATACAGGGCTGTGTGAGGATGCAAAATAAGTAAAAGGAACACAATACATAACTTCCAAAATTATTAAACACAAGGGATTAGAAGTATATTTCTGTATTATATCAAAAAATTTAATCTTTGAATTTTTTATAAGCCCTTTTATTACTTACTGCTTTTTTGTCTATAATCTACCTTGACATTTATTTGAATCAGAGTGAAATCTAACAAACTTCCTAAAATCTTAAGAAGCTTTAAATCACTTAGAAAATTTAATGAGATCACATTACCTGCACTCAGTAATTTAGCTGTGTCTAGGTCCTGGAAAGAAACTCCTTCATTTAACTGGATAGGACATCGATAATTTAGCATCTGTAGCAAGTAACTGATTCCATCAACAAGGTACTAAATAAAAGTCAAAGCCAAAGAATTGAAAGTATTATATGCAGAGAGGTATAAACTTCAAATATTAAAAATTTACATTCTTTAATCAAGAGAAAATGGGTTCATATATAGACATAGCTTATAGCTATATTTCAATGGTATAAAGACCCAACATCTCAAGACTTTGCTAATATAAATATACCCCTTGATGTAGGGCATGGTGGCACTTTGGGAGCCTGAAGTGGATCAGGAGTTCAAGACCAGCCTGACCAACATGGTGAAACCCCACATCTACTAAAAATTCAAAAATTAGCCGGGTGTGGTGGTGCACGCCTGTTTTCCCAGCTACTCAGCAGGCTGAGGCAGGAGAATCACTTGAACCTGGGAGGCAGAGGTTGCAGTGAGCTGAGATCAGGCCACTGCACTCCAGCCTGGGCAACACAGCAAGACTCCGTCTCAAAAAAAATAAAATAAAATAAAGATAATAAAGATGTACTAAACAAAGTGTTAAAAACATGTATATACTTATAATTTAGAAATATGACAATCAGGCCGGGCGCAGTGGCTCACGCCTGTAATCCCAGCACTTTGGGAGGCCGAGGCGGGTGGATCACAAGGTCAAGAGATCGAGACCATCCTGGTCAACATGGTGAAACCCCGTCTCTACTAAAAATACAAAAAATTAGCTGGGCATGGTGGTGCGTGCCTGTAATCCCAGCTACTCAGGAGGCTGAGGCAGGAGAATTGCCTGAACCTGGGAGGTGGAGGTTGCGGTGAGCCGAGATCGCGCCATTGCACTCCAGCCTGGGTAACAAGAGCGAAACTCCGTCTCAGAAAAAAAAAAAAAAAAAAAAAAAAAGAAATATGACAATCAAACTTTTATATCTGCAAGTGTGGCCTCCCATTTCCAATCCCACCTAAATTTTATGTACATTTAACTCAAGTTAGAATCCTTAGTGATACAATACTAAGACTTATATTTTGAATTTAATGATTCGGTCATAATAGTCAAGTGAATCAGAAGGCTACAATTTTCTAGGAGCAGGGTCATGTGAGTTCCTTAGAAGTGATCTGCTGACAGGCTCACAACCAAGTGCTTTCTTCAGGCCAAAAGTTTTTTAGAAGTTTAGAAATTAATATAGTTTATCTTATATTTAAAACAATATAAATCCTTAAAAAAAAAGAGCTTCACAGATTACAAAGTACTTTCACATGTTATCTGATTTAGTCTTCACAACAATCCCTATTTATGATTACCCAGCTAGTAAATAAAAGTTCTAGAACACAAACCCAGACCCTTTGATCCATTACTCTTAGTACTATAACAAAGATAGCTTTTTGAAACCTATAAATGTCAACAATAAAAAGTATGTAAGGAATGTCTTCTTACCTTTTTAAGCAAACTGGATTTTCTCAAGAGCCACTCTCTTCTTTTGGTCAGAGAATGGCAATACATATACAGCAGGGCTCCTCGTCTCCAAGAGAGACATTCCAGTAGCTCGTCCCCAAGCAAATTGCAGTGCTGAAACACAAAAAAGACATTAAAAAGAGAAACTGGATGTCTGTTAAGGTTGAAGTTAAATTTCAAAAATTCAACAATTAAAAACATTCTCACATCACAAAATGTGCCTTTGGTTTAGCTACTTGCACAGGGAGGCCTTACTTTCAATTGTAAATATGCAAGTCTATTAATACATGAAAATTAAAATACTTCAATTTACAAACAGTTTTACAAAATAATTTTAAAAATATTTTTGCTAGCAAATTCTCCTAACATATTTGCAATATAAGCTGTCATCATCTCATTTAAAAGGTAACTTTTCAGAAATACATTACTTAAGATCATATCTATGTTTACTATTGCTTGAATAAAATAATGAAAATGTATACATAAAAATTATTTTAATAAATCAAAATTTTTACAGTGGTTTGTCATTTAAATCTGGGGATAATGTTTCCACAGCCTCCCTTGATAGATAAATAAAGCAAAAAATACATCTAAGTAGATAATCAGCAGCATGTTAAAGATGAAAAATTATTTGTTTGAAAGAGTATCCAGGACTAGAGATAAAAAATCATGGAATTATCCAAATAGATATGACAGTACAAAGCCCGTGAATAGGTTGTCAAGCAAAGAGAGAATAGATACTATCAGTGATGAAAGAGACATCCTTGGCTAGTACCTGTGCTTCTAGAATGGAAGGCAGGAAAGTTGCTAGCAAAAGAGCAAGATAAAACATTTCAGAGAGGAAGAAGTAGAAAAGCAGCATGCAGGGTCTCAGAGGAAGGGGGTGATCAATGCTAAGAAGGGCAGCAAAGGTTTGAAAGGATAAGAACTTTAAGGACAACAGATGTGGTAATTAGATTAATAGTGACCTTCAAGGAAATAGCATCTGCAAAAGTAAAAGGAGTTGAAACTGGAGTATCTATGTTTAAAAAATGATTAGGCACTGTAATTACAATTCTATTATACAAATATTCTGACATACATTTAGTAAAATATGATATTTTTGTTGCGACATTGGTCTGAAGTGTTAAGCCCTTTTATCTCCCTCCTCCAATCTTAATTTAAGAAACAAAGATACAATCAAGAAGAAAAACTACAGACTCCAAAGAGCAGGACAGCAAGAACCAGCAATATTCCACCATAATTAACAGGAATGTAAAACTTACTTTTGGATGCATATTATTTTCCTTAACTAAAATTTCTGGCTCTGAAAGAAAACTGATCAGCTCTTTTACTTTCTGTGAAGAGTCTTCAGGAAAATCTTCATCCACTAGTTTGTTCTCTTCAAAATAGGTCATGTCCAAAATAGCCTTAAAAAAGGTATATATCAATGATTTAAACTTAAAAAAAACAACTCTTACAGTTTAACCCTGCACATATAGGTGCTTTATTACACATTTAAATCTTCTAGCTCAGTATGTACCTTTGAGAAGCAGGCAAAATGTCTAGATGTAAATATAATTTGAGAAAGATTTTCAAGAAAATTTCATAGGTATTTTACTAAAGTGCTGAATTAATGTTTCAGTCAAAAAAGAAAATGGAGCTTTGTTTTAATTAATGGAATTTAATCATGTATAATTATAAAAAATATAATTATATATTCTGCTATTTATATAATCCCTGAAAATGTTCTAAATGTCTGCTATAACAAGTTAAGGTCACCACCTCTAGTTTTGAACCTTCAAAGGATTTATTTGTTTTCCCAAATACAGAGCCAGCATTAGGGTCATATGTATCCTACCACCCAATATAGGAAGCATACCATCAACATATGCAATTCAAACACTAAGCTCCCAATATTCCTAAATACTAGAGATCCTGTTAAAGCATATTAAAACTCCCCAATCCTTTTTCCTTTTTTAATCTATTGAACTAAGACTAAGGAAACTGGGTTCTAGTGTCATTTCTACCACTAATCACTTAACTAACCAAAGTCAGGTCAATATATCTTTTTTGAGCCTTATTTTCTTAATTGGCTAAGTGATAAATTGGACTAAAATACCTTTCAAAGCTCCTTGTTGGCGTATAAAATTAATTAACATATTAAAGTACTAGAAACGTTACCTAGCACCCAGTTAGTACCACTTAAGCGGTAAGTGTTATTGTGTGAGAGGCCTAAGCCAGTAAGGAGAGATCATCATCATATGAAAGGTGATCTGTTGATTTCAAACCATAAATATGGTTTAAGAGGATCTGGAAAATTTAAATCTGTATCTCTCGGTCTTTTGCCTTATTCTAGTAAGTTAAAATGTTTAGAACACTCTTATGTGAAAAAAAAATGAGATGACATATAACATATGCAGACAAGCACAGTCTTCTGAAAGGAAAGAAAGCCAAGCAAAATACCTGCCAAACCTAAACAGTTCTCTCTGGTTTGAGTAGCTGTTAGGCTCACTCAGCCATGATATTTGGAGGCAAAAGCTATCTTTAGAAACTTCCTAACAGGAAGAACAGTACCAGGCATTTACATGCTATAAATGGGCACTTTGGAAGGCTAAGTTTACTGCACTTTCTGTAACCACATCCGTTTTGTTACCTCTTAGCAATCCAAAAAGGACATATGAGTATATTCTATCAACTACAAAGTGCTATATAAATCTTAGTTACTATAATAAAATTATATTTCTTGATATCAGCATGCCTCAGCAGCATTTCAGAAAACCAAGAAAAAAGGGTGTTGGCCACACAGCAGCCTAATTTTGAAAAGAAAGTTAAAAAAAAGGGAGTGAAGAGAAAAATCGTATAGATTTGTGTGATACTAGCAGGGGGAATATTATTGAGAATCCTAGGGAAAGTAAATTTCAGGGAAAAAAAAAGGGTTCTTATATATTCCCCTACTCCCTCTGAAACTTTCAAGAGATTGGACATTGCACACACTAGTGTTCTATTCAATTATCTCTAAAGGAAAACAATTCTGTTATCTGTAAGATTTTTTTCCTAACTTTTCTTATTAACAAATCTAATAAATCTTACTTCTTTGCATACTGTCTCAGAGTTTCAAGTTTTTGTGCTTTATTCATAGTTTTTTGAACAAAATTAAACACTTGAAATACGGAATAAACTGATTTTGTTTTACTTAAACTTGGAGTCAATGATCTAAATGAACAACCTGCCCTCATAAAATGCCACAGTCCATATCTCTCTCAGTACCTGTGTGTAAAGTTCTAGAAGATTTGATGGATTTGAACATTCCTTCTCTTCTCCACACAGGAGTTTCAATTTTTCTAATGCTGCAGAGGCCCGAATTAAAAAGTGATCTATAAGAAATAAAAACATGATGATTACTTCACATAGTTCAGTGTTATTTAAACAAACAAAAACATTACATATCAAGATGAAATGATGAAATGATAAGATGAAATAATATTATGGCATATGGAGAAACAGTATTTAAGTAAAAATATCTTAGCTAACATAGGCTTAAACCTAATTAAGTAAATTTATCATGAAAATTTATTCTATAAAGCAAAACACTGAAAACTTTCTAGATTCACTGTCGCCATTTGTTAAATGCAGTCTGATAATGCACTCAAAATATTTAAACAAATTAAAAACTTACTGAAATATACAAATAATATATATAAATCTACAGAAAGGGCTTCCACTGAAAACTTATAATTTCATAAATGAAGTTGTAAATGTTATCCGAAAGGCCATGATTAACAAAATCCAATTCCTTATAAAATGCCAGTGTTACAAGCAATTGTAACTTTATCATAATTGTTTATAATTAAAATTACATAACACAGCTTCGTTCTTTTAAAAACTTAGAAATGAAACAAATTACCTTATTTCCTCAAAACCTGGAAGAAAAGGAACTATACTTATGATTAAGTCCTCTAATCACAAATCACCCTCCCTCTGCCTTCACCATCTCCTGACTTTTTTCCCTTTCTCTAATGTCATAATCCCTTTGTTACCTCTTTGATTTCACGTTGTCTTAGGCGTCCACTCCGAGGCACTATTCATGATTCTGCAGCACTTCAATGTAGTCAAATTTAGATACACCCACTATCAAGACACTAAACTCCCTGAGTTTGCCTCTCTGTGGTTCCCTTTTGAAACACATTCTGATATTCTAACATATATCCCTTTCTTCTTCATGGGCCAATGAACAGATAGTGTAGCACTGGTGTAGGCCTACTACCTGATCCAGTCTCAGGAGTTACACAGACAGATAAGCTGTTTCAGTGCTGGAGCAAAAGCACCATCAGGTTATGCCTGTTGGCAATCACGTGACTGCTGCCTTAAGTCTTCTCAGGTAAAGCCTGAGATTGGATTTTGATTGCTGTAACATCCGCTTTGGCTTGAGTTAAAATCTACTTCTTAGCACTGTCTCCCCACCTCTCATTAGCCCAGAAGCAACATCCACACAACCTAGAAAAGTATTCTACTATAAACTGAAATTGCATGGAATATAACACTCCTTTGGGGCTTCTTTAGAGAGTATGTAGATATTTTTTTAACTTGCAAGATTATTTTCAATGTAAAGATTTATATTGAATTTACTTAACCATTACTGAAAGCGTATGTCACATAAACTCATGACATTATTACTGAAGGAAGGAGTGGTGGCATAGCTCACATTTTGGAAAAGCCCCATAAAATGCAGTATTTTTACTAGAATTATTTAGTCAAAGTAACCACAGGCAAGACAAAAGATGACAGATTCTTACAAAATCTCTGGAAAAACTCCCTTATGACATACTTCCACATAGTAAACAGATTATGCTTGCATGATGAGAAATAAATTAACAAAAATTGGCTAGAAATTTAAAAATGCACTCTTAGATGAAATAATATCTGGCTTTATCTCATCTAATTTGAAGACGACAGTGGAAACTATCAAACCTCTATACCCTAGTATAAACACATAGTTGTTACATTAAAGAACAAAATTTGAATGTATATTATTCTTGTTGCATGGAAAAATAATGCCAAATTCAAGTACATGAAATTTTGTTTTAATTAAAGTTCATAAAAAAAATCTTGTAATATTTATAAGATTAAACTGATTTCCATGCTGATCAACCACTCATAATGTGGACCACTAACACTGTCATTTTATTTCTGTAATTTTCAAAAGTATAAAGCCTCCAAACAAGAATTCCATATATAGCACATGACTTTTATTTCCAGGTCTCATTCATTCCAGATTAAAGAAGTCTTCCAAAGGAAATGTAATGGCTTTTTGGTTCAGTGATAAGTGAATAAAAAACATTCTTTGGTCTCTTTGGACAGGTTCAAGTGAATCTAGAATTAGAGGTAACTCAGATACACTTTCAAGTTAATAGCTACTACTACCCAATAATTATTCATGTGAATCCACAGACCAAAATACAAGTCAGCTTCAGGATGGTCTGTAGGTTTTTAAAGAACACACTCCTGATCAGGGTCAGTGGCTCACTCCTGTAATCCCAGCACTTTGGGAAGCCAAGGCGGGCGGAATGCTTGAGCCCAGGAGTTCAGGACCAACCTGGGCAACATGGTGAACCCCGTTTCTACCAAATATACAAAAGTTACCAGGGAGTGGTGGTGTACACCTGGAGTCCCACTACTAGAGGGGCTCCACCCTGGGCGACATAAAGGAGACTCTGTTTAAAAACAAAACAAAACACTCTTGAGAAAAGATAATCCGGCAAAATATATTCGTTGAAACTAAGGCATTTCATCACAGGCCCTATTTAATAAGAAATTCACCAACTATTCAATCGCTTAATACAAGGTTCCACTACTACTGTTTTCCTATGACTCCGATGATGAGTCAGTCCACAAGAATTTTTAAATCTGTACTAATGGCTCAAAACTCAAAAAGGAATAATGTAGATCCTAAAGGCGGCTGAGACATAATGAAGAGAATTCTACTTAAATTGAGAAGGTTGAGGTAATTCCCTAGCCCAGTTTTTCCTAAGAAAACAGCTTAGACTTTTCCAAAACAAGTGTCCCAATACTTAACAGAGCGCGTGTGAGAACCGACATGATGTATGGAACAGAATTTTCTAAATCACACCAACGTAAAGCTCTTCTGTAGAATGCTGTTTCGAATCCAAAACATAAAACAGAAATTTATAACGCAGCAATGAAAAGGTGGGAACTATTATACATCCCTATTTATCTTTACAGGATGCAAAACCACCATTACTCATTTGAGTATTATCATTCATCTTAGCCATTTATTTAAACTTTTGTATTTTATTTTGATTCTACCCTTTATCCAGTCGCTACCTAGACAGTTAAGTACAACAGCACAGATCTGGACAGATTTTCCATGGGTTCTGAAAAGGCAGTTTTCGAAGCCAACGCCTTCGCAATGTGAATTCTGGGGAGTGGGCAATCGATGGCGCAGCGGGGATCAGAAGCGACAGACCTCGGGAAGCTACGTGCGGCCTGGGACCCAAAGGAACACAGGCCTCAGCCTCTAGCCCTTATAGTCATCGAGCGCCAGTCCCGAAGCGCAGTCTGCCCCACCCGCCTCCCCCTCCTCCGCTCCCTCACCATCTTCGCCGGCAGCTTCGCTAAGTTGCTGTATGTGGGCCTGAGCCAGGTCTCCGAGCTCTTCCACTCGTCTCACCACACTAGAGACTGCGGCCGCCATGGCCACAATCGGCGGGCGCGCCTGGGCCACGTGACGGTGTCGGCCTGCAATCACCTGATCCCCCAGCAAGGGCGGGGCGTAGGGCGGAGCTCGCCTCGTTGGTGGGAGGAGACATCAGCTACGAAAGAGGGCAGGCCCAGACCGGCAAAGGTCATTCCGGGTTATTTTTTCCTCCTGGACTTCCCTTCCGTCCCATAATTCAGAGCAGCATGGAGACTAGGCGTGAGTGTGACGTTAAGGCACGCCCTCCTCTAAGCCAATAGGGAGCCAGCCGTGCCCCTAGGCTGACCCAATGGGAAGTGACCTCTCTCCGCCTGCCTCCTGGAAGGCAGCTTGGTGATGTCTGACTGGCGGGATGCGGATTGTTGTCCGCTCTCCCGCTTCCCTGTCCGGCTCGGGAGCCACAGTCTGTAGGGCAGACGCGAGTGTCTGACGAGAGGACTGTCAAGTTTTGGCTTTGTAGTAAAAAGGTTGCTAAAATAAAGTGATTATAGTCTCCTGATCCGAAACGGAAACCCCATCGGCCCCTCTTGTAACACATCCAAGTCTCCGTCCGGATGGGGAACTCCAAACACTAGTGGAGTTACCAGTCTACGTGGTTGAATATCGCTTTTCTAAATCTGATTTTTAGCCGTCGAGTTTATCTCTGACCTCCCTTTGAGTTCACATTTAAAGAACTTTAGCTATCTTGCGTCCAATGGCACTAAACTCTGCAGCCACAAAACTATTTTCATTGTCTTTCAAGACCTTCCCTTAAGGCGCCAGTTGTGCATGAGGTTCATTCTCTCAACTGCGAGTTTCAAAGCACTCAGTCAGCAAGTCTAACTTCCACTTTGGATTCCCTGACTGCTTTCTTGCCTCTGGTCAAACAAATCGTTAACTCTTTTTGTTCATTTTTCAGTTTGACACACTGTATCTTATATAATCTGCATCCTATCATTTCTTATGGAAGGTAGTTTTGTTATAATAGAAAATACTAAAAATAGGGGAAAAGTGTATTGTAATTTATAAGTGATTATAAGTGATTGACCACAGTGACTTTCTAACTGACCATTGTAACACCAGTTTTTTCTTCTGTTAATTCACCCTAAATATAGAGGACAGGAATCATGTATTCTGTGTCCTTAGTGCTTTATACAGTGCCTGGCACATATGCACTGTTGTCAACAAGCTACATGGCAAACAGATATGATGCGGTCTGTGGGAGCAGACAATTATTCAATTGTTGGGGAATTGTAGGTGAGTAAAACAAGGATCTAAGTATAAACAAGAAGTTGAGAGAAGGCTTTCTTAATAAGGGGTAGAGAAGGTGATAGCTGAAGGGGGGGTGTTAGAAGGTAGAATGGAGAATAATCATATCTGTACACAAAGGGGGAAAATAGGGAGAAATTCAAAATGAAAGTAGGGAGCTAGTAATTGATAAAGAAAAGAGCAGAGGGTTACACCTGATGCCTTCTGAATCTTTTACAAGATGTAGAACTAAATGAAATCTTCAGTCGTTTTCATGAAACTTTTGAAAAAATAACTTTCAAAAAATAACCTTTGACTAGGAATTTTCAGTCTCCTAGGAAATGAATAATTTACCATTCTCAAACTATTTAAAAGAATTATCTGGATATGTGGGCAATAGACAAAGGTGCAGCTGAAATATTTTGACTGTGGATCCATAAAGTATCTCTGCAGAAGTGTTTTGCTCTCAGGTCCACTGTTCCTCTCAGGATTTCATAAAAGATCTCTTAGGGTCTATGTAATCAAGTCATCCATTTTCTAGGCATGAGATTTTGGTCTGGGAGATCTTGCTCATGATTTTGAAGTGATCTTGGATTGCCATTTGAATCAAGAGTTCCTTTTTAAAATAAACATTTAGAGTCAAATACTCAAGAGATTCTTTCATTACAACTATGGCTTTATCTGTTTCCTTTCCATAAATGTGGCTATTAAAAACATTTTAGGTCAGGCGTGGTGGCTCATGCCTGTAATCCCAGCACCTTGGGAGGTCTAGATGGGCAGATCACCTGAGGTCAGGGGTTCAAAACCAGCCTGGCCAACATGGTGAAACCCCTTCTCTGCTAAATATACAAAAAAATTAGTCAGGTATGGTGGCACGTGCCTGTAGTCCCAGCTGCTCAGAAGGCTGAAGCAAGAGAATCACTTGAACCAAGGAGGTGGCGATTGCAGTGAGCCGATATCACGCCACCGCACTCCTGTCTGGGTGAGAGAGAGAGACTCTGTCTCAAAAAATAAATAAATAAAAATAAAAAATAAAAACATTTTAGTGGAGTGTGTTTCCAATACTTCTAAGTCTTTTTCTTGTTTCCTTTATGTTCTCTTTCCCTAGTTACAGATGCAGTCCAATATAGAAACTTCATGTTTGTTAATCCATTTTATTTAGTTCAAAGTTTACATAAACTGTAAAATACTGAAACATAATAAAATCACCCTTACCCCCATTACTTCTCCCTTGCCATCTTTGCTCAATCTTTCCAGGCTCTGCTGCATTTCTTCTGATCTATCAGGTTGAGCCAGTCGTGTGGTTAAACTGAACCTACCAAGGAGTATCAAGTCCTGATATTAAGACTCTCAGATTTACCAGACTCCTAATAAAGTCTTTCTCTCTAGCTATGAGTGTGATTCTAATTTTTAGACCTCTATGGTAAACACAAAGCTTTGTAACAAAAATGGTAAAAAGGAGACACAACAAACAAATATCATGAGTATATTTGAAAAAATCCGAATTAGAATGTTCTCAAATTAATTTAAAAGATGGTTAATACCCAAAATCAGTAAAAGAAGATAAGCACTCACTCTCATACACTGTTGTTAGGAATATACTTTTATACAAACTACTGAAGGATGACCTGGCATAATGTATTAAAACCTTTGAAAATAACTGATTTAGTAATTTATTCTAAGACAACAACTGGACAAGTGTGTAAAGCTCAATAAAACAAGGAGGTTCATCATAATTTTGTTCATAATTGTAAACATTTGACAATAACACATATCTGTGATAGGAGATTGGTTCAACAAGTTTTGGTATGTTTATGCAACAGGACATACTGTAGGCATTAAAATTGTATTTTATCTCCATACCTATTGACAGATTAAGATGTTCATAATTTATTAAGTAAAAATAATTATAACAGTACATAGAGTAGAGCTTTAGTTTTAGTCGTTATTTCTTTATTTTTTGTTTTGTTTTTTGTTGTTGTTGTTGTTGTTGTTGTTGTTTTTGAGACAGGGTCCCATTCTCACCCAGGCTGGAGTGTACTGGCGTGATCTTGGCTGAGTGGGAAACCTCTGCCTCCCAGGTTCAAGTGATCCCCCTACCTCAACTCCTGAGTTGTTGGGACCACAGATACATGCCACAATACCTGGCTAATTTTTGTGTTTTTTCGTAGAGATGGGATTTCAACATGTTGCCCAGGCTGGTCTCGAACTCCTGAGCTCAAGTGGTCTGCCTGCCTTGACCTCCCAAATTGCTGGGATTACAGGTCTGAGCCATGGTGCCTGCTAAGCTTTAGTTTTAAATATGGGTTTATGCATCTAAAATTTGAGAAAATATCAATTATGAATAATAAACTCATACTGTTGGTGCACATATGGATGACTTTTAATTTTTTAAATTTTATGTTTTACAAATGTTACAATGAGCATACATGAAAGTAGAACTTTTCTCCCTTCCACTACATTTTATGGAGAGACCACCATAGGAGTAATTGTGATGGTTGAATGGTGGCCTCCAAAAAGATATGTCCATGTCCCAAACCCCAGAACCTGTGGATGTGACCTTATATAGGAAAAAGGTCTCTGCAGGTGTAATTAATTTAATTATCTTGAAATAAGATCATCCTGGATTATCCAGGTAAGCCCTAAATCTAATGGCAAATATCTTTAGAAGAGACAAAAGAGAAGACAGAGATATAAGATGGAGGCAACAATTAGAGTGATGCTCCAAGAAGTATTACAGATTGATGACAGCCATCTGCAGCTAAGGGAGAGGGATGAAAGGATACTCCCTAGAGCCACACTCAGTCAGATGACCTACTTTCCTTGGAGAAAAATGAGAAGGAGGATGTGATTTGGCCAACAGAGTTAGTTTCTTTTGGCTGCTGTAAGAAAAAAAAATTACCACAAACTGAGTTGCTTAAAAACAATAGAAATTTATTAGTTCACAGCTCTGGCAGAAAGAAATCTGAAATCAAAGTGGCAGCTAAGTCAAAAGAACATTTGAAGAAATAATAGCCGAAACAGTTTCTTAGATATGACACCAAAAAAAAAAAAAAGCAGCAACAAAAGAAAAATAATACATAAACTTACTAAAAATTAAGAACTGCAGTGCTTCAAAGGACACTATCAAGAAAGTAAAAAGACAACTCGCAGAATGGGAGAAATGGGAGAAAATATTTGCCAAACATATACCTTATAAGAGACTAGTATCCAGAATATGTAAGGAATTCTTATAATGAAATAGTAGAAATATTAATAATCCAATTAAAAATATGCAGAGGATTTGAATAAGTAATTCTCCATAGAAAAAATTAAAATAGCCAATTTACACATGGAAAGATGTTTAGGCATTAGGGAATGCAAATCAAAACCACAATGAGATACCACTTCATATCTAGTAGGATGGCTATAACCAAAAACTCAGATAATAAAACGTGTTGACAACAATGGAGAGAAATTGGTACTCTAATAAACTGCTAGTGGGGTAATATAGTGCAGCAACTTTGAAAAACAGCTGGAAATTCCTCATGACGTTAACTATAGAGTAATCATATGACCCAGTGCAATGGGTTAAATATTTATGTGTCCCCACCGGCCCTGAAGCAGATTCATATGTTGAAATCCTAACCCCCAAGAGGATAGTGTTAAGAAGTGTGACATTTGGAGGTGATCAGGTCACCAGGGTGGAGCCCCCATTAATAGGATGAATGCCCTTATAAAAGAGACCTCGGAGACATCTCTCAAACCCTCCACTATGTGAAGGCACAGAAAAAAGATGGTTGTCTACTAAGAGGACCCTTACCAGACACAGATTCTGCCAATGCCTTGATCTTAGGCTCTTCACCCTCCAAAACTGTGAGAAATACATTTATGGTTTTGTTTTTTTTTTTTGTAAGCCACCCAGTTTATTGTATGTTTTTACAGCACCCAAACTAAGAC